GGCACTCTTTAACCACCATCTAAACATATTATCTAGATTCACAGTCTTGATTTCCTTTCAACCTTAGACACTCTTTAACCACCATCTAAACATATTATCTAGATTCACAGTCTTGATTTCCTTTCAACCTTAGGCACTCTTTAACCACCATCTAAACATATTATCTAGATTCACAGTCTTGATTTCTTTTCAACCTTAGACACTCTTTAACCACCATCTAAACATATTATCTAGATTCATAGTCTTGATTTCCTTTCAACCTTAGAACCTACGAGGCTAAGTATAGAACAATAAAAATCTAAAACTAATGATTTTTACAGCTAATCTTCACCCAAAAACCACCATATAAAAGTATGTGAAGTATGAGCCCCTTAATAATCTTTCCACCAGTTGTTTCTTTTAAAGAGAGTAAAATCTTTAGGCAATTAGAGACATCTATCTGGTAACGAAATAATCAATACAGATTTCTTGGAACACAGAAATTCACGCGAGGGCAAACAAATCACACGTCATACAAGAAACAGACAAGCGAACATGGTTGAATTCTCTATCACAGTGATTCCCAAACTGGGTTCCGCGGGACAATCGTAGGGGAGCGTCAATACACGCGGAAATATTATATTTAGAACTTCTGTGACATCGAACAAAGTAATATTTCCAGTGAGAATGTTATCTATTGCAGCGTGGTCTACGAATTGGTCCAAAATGCAAGTCACTGATGAGTTTTTGTTTTTTGCGGTGGCAAGCGAAATAGAGCAGGTTAGGACCGGTAGGTGATCTGCAGAATCTTTTGCCCCGCCGAAGTGGTCTGTGAATGAAATAGTGATAAATATGACTACATAACGTTATTTATGCAATGAAATTACGGTACATGAGTATACGTGTGTATTTTAGGGCAAAGCCACACTTGGCTATCTGGCATGTCTACCGTGGGGAATAGAACCTCTGTAAACTTACCACTGACTCACCGGAGGTCTACGGTATGGGAGAGTGGTAATAATTAATTTTTTTATTAAATAATTAAATAAGGTCCTCTGATTGGGTGTCTAAGATCAAGCTGAGAAGTTTGGGAACCCCTGCTCTATGAAACTGCAGAAAGGGTACAGTATAAATGTAATTCTTTTAAACCATTTAGGATCTATTTGCAAATGTTTAATGTTATGTTTGACTAACAAAAGTGTACATGCTGACCTTGGTCTTTGCATTCTTCCTCTAGGCGTCCCATATGGTCCCTGTCCAAATCTTGTGGTAGAGATTCTGCAAAAAAGAAACCTTGCATGTTTCAAAATCAATTGTCACAAGCAGGTTTGATAGTTAACCAATAAATCTTATCCATTCCAGCATCCAACACCATTATCTACAGGTATGCTGATGCAACTCTGGTACAACTCTGCTCAAAATTCATCTGTGATGAGGCATTTATGCACCGAAAATTAATCATTATAAAATGTTGTCAATCTCTTCCCATCAATTTTGAATCAGAAATAAGGGATTTAGTTATTGTAAAATCTAAATACAGAAAGTGAATATCAGAAAACTAAAACTTTCGAGAAAAAAATGTTATCAGTACTAATTAAAAACAACAACATGATATCAATTTACTACTCTTATTAAGAAACTTACGACACAGAATATCATAGACGTCATGTATGCAACAGCGACCCTAGTGATGAAAAATGTAAATTAAAAATTAAGTCGAGTGCAAATTTTGAAATACGGTGATCAAAAGAATAGACCAAATTTAAAAGTATTATCAAAAATACTGGTCCTACGGAAATAAAATTTTACCAAAGGCACGTTGAGAATCACGAGTTTTATTCAGGAAAGTCTGAATAATACAAGTATTTCAAAAAACATTCACTATTGTAAGTTTCAGCATTGCTTTTATTGTGAAAGTCAATAAACACTGTCCAGAACAGGCGATGCTCACAGTGAATACAGTTTCATTTAGAGATAAGCATGATAAAATGATGGAGATGACGAAATGCACATTGAACACTTTCTGTCAGAATTTTGAAACACCATGTCCCATGTCGAAAGTTTCGTCAATAGAATGTCCTATGTCGAAAGTTTCGTCAATAATATGTATCCTGTCGAAAACTTCATCAATAGAATGTATCATGTCGCAAACTTCGTCAATGAAATGTACCATGTCGAAAGCTTCATCAATAGAATGTATCATGTCGCAAACATCATCAATAGAATGTATCACGTCGAAAGCTTCATCAATAGAATGTATCATGTCGCAAACATCATCAATAGAATGTACCATGTCGCAAACATCCTCAATAGAATGTACCATGTCGAAAGCTTCATCAATAGAATGTATCATGTCGCAAACATCATCAATAGAATGTATCATGTCGCAAACATCCTCAATAGAATGTATCATGTCGCAAACATCCTCAATAGAAAGATTCGGCAACAAAATTAACCATGTAGAAAGCTTCGTCAATAAAACTTGCGATTCTCAATTAGGCTCATGTGAAACTTAATTTTCTTAGTACATTTAATCTGTGAGATATAATAAGTTTAAATTTCGGTTTTTCTTTGTACTCATTTGTACATTTCACAGATATCAGATATATATTTTCATTACAATGTCTTTCTTGTGGGTTTTAAAATGTCTTAGAACAGGTTTTGGAAATTATTGTTATAATTAGTGATAAGTATGAAAGAAATAGCACGTCGATATGCTATTTTTGTTGTCCCAGTTTGTGTCTCTTTACCTTTAAATCCAATAAAGGTGTTTGAAAACATCTCAGGGTTGTTCAAAATTGACGCCCCATATGAGTAAACAGTAGTATCACGGATTTTCTAGAACTTTAGATCTCTGTTTTGTGTCGGTGGACAATACGTAGAACATGTGTGATGCTACAGTTCACCATTTTGTGTAAACTCCCGTATAAAGAGTGACTCTTGAATATCCCTGTATTTTGCGTTCTTAATTTTGAATTCAACTCGTTCTCGTTTGTTGTTAAGCACAACGCCACACAGTGAACTGTCTTTGCTCTCTCCACCACAGTTATCGAAACCTGATTTTCAGCGTTACACGCCTTTAGACTTACCGCTAAGCCACAGGGGGTGGAGGTCAAAAGTGCAAAGATACATAATGGGATATCTGCATTTTGTTCACCGTAAGATATCGAACCCCTAATTTTAGTATTGTAAGTACGTAAGCTTACCAATGACCCATCGGAGGAATTTAAATTCAATATTATTCTGTTTGTACTCGACGAATTAGTATATTTCTCCTTGTAACCGCTAGGGATTGTCCATTGTACTACAACTCAACGTGCCTCAATTTTCTCATTAAATTCTGTTTGTTATGCTGTCAGAAACACAGCACGGCTTATGTTTGTATATTCAACCTCGATGTTATTTTCAAATTTTCACTCTTTTCACGTTTATCTTGCTCACTTATATACTTTTTCATGTTCAATCGCATATTTGTTGAGTTTTGGTAGCAATAATTTTTGTTTATATATTATAATAACTATATATATTAAAAAATTAAACACTGGCACTAGCAGGTAGGTGTTTAAGACCTAAATAATACTGCTACATGATAAATTGCGCTGTCAAAACGTAACGAACACTTCTAAGATAATCAGTGTTAAATAGTGCTGTAAATATTATCTAGAACGTACAGAAGTGTGATTTGTACTTGTAGTAACATATATAAGGACTCATTCCTTTGTTTCGGTTCTCGCTATAGACCTTACAAAGCTAGATTTACTGAAATATATATATATATATATATAAAGAATTATTACTTGAAATTAAAACGTCAAAAGTGCGTAAACTTACCGTTCAAAATTCTAAGGGCTTCTGCTGGGTTGGTGTGGAAGTTGCCCTCACAGTTCGAGCGTTTTTTTACTTCTGCTTCTAGTTGTTCCTGGACTCTTCTGCGAGATCGTCTTTCTTTCCTTAGTCTCTTCTGATAGAGAACTGAAATAGGGAATGAGCATTAAAACCGTGATGCGTTAGCATTGCCAAGGTGTTAGTCTTGGAAATACACATCCTGAGGAGGAACGTATAATATAAACTGATTAGAAGTTGAGGAATTATTACCATACTGAGGAGGAACGTATAATATAAACTGATTAGAAGTTGAGGAATAATTACCGTTCTATAACAGTTAATGTGAAATCTGTTGGTCCCAGATGTAAACCAAGTCAACTTGGTACATGGTATTTTCAACTTGAATGTAACCTTATGAGTAAGGGCGTTAGACGTTTGTTTGTTTAGTTGAATTTCAAGCAAAGCTACCCGAGGGCTATCTGCGCTAGCTAACCTTAATTTTAGAGTGATAGACTAAAGGGAAGGTAAATAGTCACCTTGTCCACCGCTACTTCTTGGGCTATTCTTTATCAACGGGTTTCGATCCTACGATCCGCACATTGCGAACTGAACGCCCTAACCGTCCTTAATATAAAACTGCCGACAGAGGGAGGACAAGCAGTCAACAGCACCTACCATCTACAAAGCTTCTCTCAACCGAACAGCTGGATAGACTGCTTCTTTTATAACACACACTAAAAACTGTGTTCAGCGGCATATTGTGGGCTGGAATGTTGGACGCAGACCGTTACACTAACAACTCGGCCACACTCAGCCTAACACGTCTATTATGGCGAATACTATTGTTCTCAGACATAAACCATGATGATAGCTGATACTTTTATAACACACATTAAAAACTGTGTTCAGAGGCATATTGTGGGCTGGAATGTTGGACGCAGACCGTTACACTAACAACTCGGCCACACTCAGCCTAACACGTCTATTATGGCGAATACTATTGTTCTCAGACATAAACCATGATGATAGCTGATACTTTTATAACACACATTAAAAACTGTGTTCAGAGGCATATTGTGGGCTGGAATGTTGGACGCAGACCGTTACACTAACAACTCGGCCACACTCAGCCTAACACGTCTATTATGGCGAATAGTATTGTTCTCAGACATAAACCATGATGATAGCTGAGACTTTTATAACACAGGCCTGCAATGGTTTTATTGTCTTGATATTTTTACATATTCTACAGTAATTCCTGTACGCTGAATCCGAAAATAATATCCATTTTTTGCCACCACGTACAGATTTTTCACAAAACGTCATAACGCAATACATAGAAGAAAGACCACAATATGTAGTTTTGAGACTAAAAAGACGAAGATTTCACACAAAAAAAATCAGGATGAACAAGGATGCATATTCGTTTGACATCAGTGGTCTTCCCTTTTCTTCAGTTTGTTTGTATTTTTGTTAACAGACATAATAATAGAAAAAAGTCCATTGTGGTAAACGAAATGATAATTTGATCTAAGTAAGATTTTTTTCTTCCCGATTTGTAATAAAACGTTATGTGATAGAAAAAAATAAATATTATTTTCGAAATCTGCGTAGCTGAATTATGGAAAATCCGTTATTAAAACCAAAAGAACTTTTATGAAGTTTGAATTCGCAGGCCTGTGTTATCACTCTTCATTGAAAATCATTTTGTCAAAATACCCCCCCCCCCTTTTTTTTTCTCTCTGAGCCCAGTCTGAAGTATGGTTGTTTTGAATAATCGAGCAAAGCTAGATATACACATGGCTATCTGCGCTAGAAGTCTTTAACTTTGAACTGATAGACTAGAAGAAAAGTAACTAGTCAACCGCCAACTCTTGGTCTAGTAATATCGAGTAGTGGGATTTAACTGTCACTATTAAGAAACAAAAAGGGGGCCCCCAGAGCCCCAAAGTATGGACTCTGATTCATATTCAAGCACGCTAACCAATCTAAAAACAGATATTTTCGCTGTTTCTACAGTAAATGACAACTCAGATTGCAAGAAAGAGCAATAACTTTTAACGGGACATTACGGGGAACGCTTTTAGTAATCGGTGCGACGGTTTTCATTTTCTCAACCACTGTTCAGATATTCAGCTCCCACAATACTTTAATAACATTTGAAGGCTTTTTTATGCGCGCCAGCTTACGAAACGAAAATATAGAGAATCAACTTGTCATAATCCCCCAGATACTGAATAATAAATACAATAGGAAGTGAAAATGTTATGTTGAAAGTGCGAACCGAAAGAAAATAACTTCGTCGGCGCTTCGTAGTTTTTTTGGAAGTGGACACAACTGAAAACTTTAAGTCGAAAATATTTAAAAATATCTCTAAAACGTCTGGGTATGACCTTAAAACTTAGTGGTTCATTGGGGAATAGATACAAAAGATTTTGTCGCTATTCTAAAGTTTGTGTAATCGTTCGTTTCTAAATGAGTAACACAAATAGCCTCTAATATCAGCCATGATATAACACAAATAACCTCTGGTATCAGCCATAATATAACATAAATAACCTCTGACATCAGCCACAATATAAAACAAATTACCTCTGACATCAGCCACAATATAACGCAAATTACCTCTGATATCAGCCATGATATAACGCAAATTACCTCTGATATCAGCCATGATATAACACAAATAACCTCCGGTATCAGTTATGATATAACACAAATTACCTCTGGTATCAGCTATGATATAACACAAATAACCTCTGGTATTAGCCATGATATAACACAAATAACCTATGGTATTAGCCATGATATAACACAAATAACCTCTGGTATCAGCCATAATATAACACAAATAACCTCTGACATCAGCCACAATATAACGCAAATTACCTCTGATATCAGCCATGATATAACGCAAATTACCTCTGATATCAGCCATGATATAACACAAATAACCTCCGGTATCAGTTATGATATAACACAAATTGCCTCTGGTATCAGCCATGATATAACACAAATAACCTCTGGTATCAGCCATGATATAACACAAATCTCCAATATTATTCAAGATGTAATATACAAATATTCTAGTTAAACTATAACACTCTACCTTTTGTCTTCTGTTCTTCAAGAATTTGTTTTTCCAGATTTTCTCGAAGTTCTCTTTCCCGCATTACTTCCATTTTTAGTTCAGCTACAAATCAAAAACGAAATAAAACTATTCTTGATAGAACTTCTGAGATTAATGTTTGTTAAAGAAAAATCTAAAATAAATAGTAAGGAGTGTAATGTGAGTGTTGTGATAGGCTACTAGAGCAACAGACCAAAAAGAGACGTGATCAAATACATAATATTTTCTCTGTTATAAGAGTTGACATTATAAAGGTTCAGTGAACGATGACAAACAATGTATTTTGGGTTACAACATATCACATCTTAAAGGTTCAGTGAACGATGACAAACAATATATTTTGGGTTACAACATATGACATTTTAAAGGTTCAACCAAATGATCTCGGTGAGCATTCAGTACACAATAACTGCATCGAATCAAAAACAATTATAGGGAAAAAAACAAGAAAAAACAGGACACTCAAAGAAGTTTACAGAAAAATTGCTTAAGTTTCTTGGCATTTATTCGTGTGAATTTGTATACCTGCACTTTATCAATCACGATCATACTTTACCTACTATTACGCCAAACTCATTAAAAACAGAAATGTATACAACACGTGGTTGGGTTTTTCATAGTAGCGGAAAACCCTTTTACGTTTTTACGTACAGAAGAACAAAATATTAATATTGTTTATTTATTTCTCATATTCAACCAACTATGTCGTATAGGCACAATTAATGATTAAGTCCTAACGTCACATCTAATTAATAGTTTATCAACGACAGAAAGACCATAGACTACTTCTCTGTCTACTAATGGTAGACATCTGTGCTGCTTGGTTAAGCAACTAATTGTATACATCTCTGCTGTTTGGTTAAGCTACTAATTGTAGACATCTCTGCTGTTTTGTTAAACTACTAACTGTAGACGTTTCCGCTGTTCGGCTAAGTCTACAATTAGTAGCTTAACCAAACAGCAGAGATGTCTACAATTAGTAGCTTGATCGAATAACAGAAACGTCTACAATTAGTAGCTTAACGAAATAGCAGAGATGTCTACAACTAGTAGCTTAATCGAACAACAGAAACGTCTACAATTAGTAGCTTAACCAAACAGCAGAGATGTCTACAATTAGTACCTTAATCGAACAACAAAAACGTCTACAATTAGTAGAATCTCTGTTGTTCAGTTAAACTACTATTTGTAGACATCTCTGCTGTTTGGTTAAGCTACTAATTATAGACATTTCTGTTGTTCGATTAAGCTACTAACTGTAGACGTTTATGCTGTTTGATTAAGCTACTAATTGTAGACATCTCTGTTGATTGGTTAAGCTACTAATTGTAGACGTTTCTGTTGTTCGTCTAAGCTACTAATTGTAGTCATCTTTATTGTTCGTCTAAGCTACTAATTATAGTCATCTTTATTGTTAGTCTAAGCTACTAATTATAGTGATCTTTATTGTTAGTCTAAGCTACTAGTTGTAGTCATCTTTATTGTTCGTCTAAGTTACTAATTGTTCTGTTTGTTAACAGAACGACAACATGTAAGGAGTTTACAAAATGTCGAATTGCTAAACCTAATGAACTTTACCTATTGTCAAAGCGAGAAAAAAATTAACCACCTTTTTCTATATTTATTTGTCTTTCTTGTTGTCTAGCGTTGTCTGCAGCCACTTTCAGCAACCCCTGAATATTTCTCAGTAGAGTCTCTATCGAGGACATGGCTTGTCCCACGGTGGCGCCACTGCTGCCGGTCAAACTGGAAAAGAATAGCGCATTCTGAGCCGAAAGATGGTCTGTGTTTGCGGTGCTGCTTACATCCGGGGTGTCACTGAAATCTGAGAATATAGATATATATATATATTTTAACTTCTCTAGATTCTTTTACAATAAGCATGTATAGCAGCAAAAATTATGGAAATTACATTTTAGCATTTTACTCTTAAATACTAATAACAGAAACATGAAGTAGCGACATCAGTTTGAATTACAATTTAACGAGTTTAGGAGAACATCAATATAAGCTGATACTTAAAGTACATTGTATAATCTTAAGCGTGATACCTTTACATCATACGAAACGGAATTAGATAGTTAGGAATCAATTTCTCCCATTATTTTATAAGTATCATTTTCAAAAACTTCAGTGTTAAGCCTGTAAACCTCTAAATTCGAATCTAACAAATCCAAACCAAAAACAAATCTACCGTGGTCTTGGTCATCACCCTCGTCCTCACTGTCGTCATCATCCATACGGTCATTGTACGCATCATCACTTTCATTTTTACCGCCGTTACCAGTGGCGCTGTAGACAACAGCTCGGCTGCTGTGCTGAGACAGGTTTAACACAGGACTGTGCCCATTAACAATCTTTCCTAAACCAAGAAAAAGAATATAGGTAAAAAACTTTATCTTCGGTCAAGGTGAGTTCAGATCTGTGCCTTAATAACTTGGTGAAATTCCTTTTTGACATATTATGTCATCTGAACGTAATTATTCTATAGACAGTAATATATATATATTTTAAAGAATCAAACAAATTGTGAACTTTTATTTTTCAGAAGTAGAATAATCTAGCAATTCAGTTGTCGCAGAACGTGGAGATATTATTCAGAATCACGAGCATAAACCAATTCAAGAACATGAGAGGAGCTGGGCAAACAGTGTTCTTCAACTTCACGTAAAACACACGACGCTGTGCAAAAACAAAACAAAACATATTTTGTTAAATAAAACATGAACTAGTAGATTTGACGTTTTGAGCTAGGGTTGGGTCCCTGGTAGAGCTCTGGATTTCAGAGCTGGCGAGCCGGTTTCGAATCCATGTGATACCACAAAATGTTCCCTGCACCCTGAGATGTGTGTATGTGTGATAAGAGTGACCGTTAATCCTTTTGGGTGACAGGGTACTGACTGTCTTCCATCTGCTTAATAGTTCAAAAGTACTTGCCTTAGTAGCTTTGCCATAAATACAAAATATTAATACAAGAATCAAAATCTTAAATACAAATACACTGTTGTTTTTAGGTAACATAAGACGACATCCTGTGCCAAGGGAAGATCAGTAGCAAATGCTACATGGTTTACAACAAAATCCACCTGTAGAATAAACAAGGTCGAATACGTTGTTGTAAATACGGGCTGATCTATTACGACTGACCATCCAAAGTATATGTAAGATGGTTTACTATTCAGCTTATTTTGTACTTTATAAGAAATACTTGTATACACTAATGTAGTGGCGTGGCGTCGAATATGTACGACATATTTAGCACTTGTATATTTGATACTTGTAAATACTAATGCAGTCTTCAATGTTCTCCATGATCGGAAGCTGGAAAACTTGTACAAAAGTTCTTTTACGACATAAACTGGCTCTGAAACCCTACCTCAGCCAATTCCCAATAGTGACCTTATCCCCAAAATGAAAGTCATGGTTATGTAAGAGAACCCTCAAACCCGAGAAAAGTTGTACCTCCTATACCGTTAACAAGAGAATTAAAAAGAAATTGAAGTTGACGAAGTCTTACAAGTCAACAGTTCACAAGATTTCAGCCAATCTTGAAATCAACAGTTGCTTTCCTAAGAAATGTGGTCAAAAAGCTGAAATCAAAACAGTTTGTACCACACAGGTGTTAAGTCCCCAACATACAGCTTCAGTTAACTTTTGAGCTTTTGATTTGGTTACATGTTGTTTTGAACGCGGACGTTCACCTACAATGTTTAGGTTCTGTGGAATGTTTGTCAAGACGTGTGGTCTAAGATTGACTTCACTGTCCTTCGCAGAAACTTGTTACAACGGAAAGTGAGTGTTCTAACCATGGCCATAAGACAGAGCACAATCGATAATGAAAGAAGCAAAGAAGCCACAAAGGTAGCACTGAGGAATCGCTTTAACAAAATACCATTAACTATCAGTGGAATCGCTTTAACAAAATACCATTAACTATCAGCGATTCCACTGATAGTTAATGGTACTTTGTTAAAGCGATTCCACTGATAGTTAATGGTATTTTGTTAAAGCGATTCCACTGATAGTTAATGGTATTTTGTTAAAGCGATTCCACTGATAGTTAATGGTACTTTGTTAAAGCGATTCCACTGATAGTTAATGGTATTTTGTTAAAGCGATTCCACTGATAGTTAATGGTAGTTTGTTAAAGCGATTCCACTGATAGTTAATGGTAGTTTGTTAAAGCGATTCCACTGATAGTTAATGGTAGTTTGTTAAAGCGATTCCACTGATAGTTAATGGTACTTTGTTAAAGCGATTCCACTGATAGTTAATGGTATTTTGTTAAAGCGATTCCACTGATAGTTAATGGTATTTGTTAAAGCGATTCCATTTTAACAAGCTACCATTAACTATCAGTGGAATCGCTTTAACAAAGTACCATTAACTATCAGTGGAATCGCGTTAACAAAATACCATTAACTATCAGTGGAATCGTTTTAACAAACTACCATTAACTATCAGTGGAGTCGTTTTAACAAAGTACCATTAACTATCAGTGGAATCGCTTTAACAAAGTACCATTAACTATCAGTGGAATCGCGGTAACAAAATACCATTAACTATCAGTAGAGTCGTTTTAACAAACTACCATTAACTATCAGTGGAATCGCTTTAACAAACTACCATTAACTATCAGTGGAATCGCTTTAACAAAGTACCATTAACTATCAGTGGAATCGCTTTA